GACATGAGAGTCAATCCGTTTGACCCAAGTTTTTGTGATGCGGTTGTTGATGTAGTTTTGCACAAGCTATTTATTATTCCACTTTAGTACTACTATCTTTTTATTTTGGATTGTTGTGTTACAGCACCTGGGGAAGAAAACTTAAAGAAGATCTCTCGGTTTAGTTTGTTTTCATTGGCCATGGCGTATGATGTTATGGCAACAGCATAAGGGTTGACTAAGCTTGGCAGACGCCTCTCCAGGTAGCCCACTGCTTTGTCTATGCTCGCTTGCAGATTCTGGATAGAAAGAAACAATGAAGGAAAGAAAGGTAGAAGAAATGTAAGATCACGTCGACAGGTAAGATTTAAACTGCAGCTGCACAGATGTTTAAAGATCTGCAATATGGGAGCAAAATGTACAGCTGCCAGTCTTTTGATAGATCAGTAAACACACTATCCTTCATTTTTTTATATTTGACTACTGGGTTTCACATTCTGTGCGTAAAAGTTTAAAAAAAAAGTGAGATAACAAACAAAAAGGCACTCACATGAACAGTGGGAGCACATATTGTGCGTGACTCTTGCATAGAAATGATGCAGAAAGCTGTAAAGGAGGCATCTGAGTCTGTGTCAAGCACATCACCCTGTACATGCAAATACACACAAGCATGTCAAAACTACTGATATATATACTACTTCTTAATATATTTAATAATAAAAGTTTGCAGATTTATCCAAAATGACATTCGGTATACTATTCTGCAGGTTTGTATTTTATGCAGGCTTTTGTTAAAATGAAGAGTTAATGTTAATGAAATCAGTGCACGCACAAGAATCTCTTTGAGGGACACACTTCCAACTTCCATAAACATGCCGTTACGTTGCTGTGTGTTCACGATCAGAAACCTGACAGCGTTACAGATCACTTCACTTTGCACTGCTATCAGATTGTTGGCCAGGGCGAACACCTTGACAACATATGCTGTCAACCTAGTAGAAGAAAGAAGGTGTATATGTAAAATCAACACATAGTCATAATCCGAGTGAGAAAATATGCAAACATTTACATATTAAAAACCAACAACTGTAGGCCTCACCAAGTGCTGCTGGGTTCATCCTGAGTCCTAGCAAAAGATCCATCTTTTTTACTGTATTCAAGTTGGTTGTGGTATCCTAAACAAACCAAAGAAAGTAAACTCAAGTTTATTGTTCAAACTCTGTACTAAAAGTTACTGAAAACCAATTTGAATAGTATTTTTAAATTAGGTGGTTTTGTATTGCTGGTTACTGCGAAGTGTGACCTTTGGTTTTTACACACAGGGCTTTAAAAAAGAAATCTCTCATACCTGTGCTAACAGTTTGTGTTAACTTACCAGTTGTGATGTGCTGGAGGGCCTGATCACGCAGGTCAATGTTCACAATCTCCCAGAGATCGGCTCTGTCTAAATATGTGATTGCGATAACTGGTAGGGTCATGTGAATCATGTTCTCCTCTCCACATCCTGAAGGCTGATAGATCAGACCACCCATTGACTCCCCACTAATTGTGTTCTTGAGCACGTTTCTCTGTTGTTTCCCTGAAATTAATACACAACCAGTCTCATCATTTGCCACTGAGAACAAGGTGGAACACAGGGGCGTAATTTCCAGGGGGGTAAAGGGGGTTATGACCCCCCAATAATCAGACCCAACCAATATAACCCCTCCAATAAAATTATGAATTAGAATAGAATAGAATAGAATAATCCTTTAATTGTCCCACAAGGGGAAATTTGGTTGTATCAGCAGCAAAGAAAAGCACATATACAAAAAGAACAGGACACAGAACAGAACAGAAAACAAAATTATTATTATTTTTTTTTTACATATTTACATCATGGACAATAGTTACCAGAGCAGAGTACAGTACAGCTGTTGAAATTAGCGTACAGATGGTGTGCAAACAGAGCAGGATACTGAAAGATGTTTAAATAGTTAAGAATATTTAGAATAATTAGAAAAGTGCAGATTGTGTATTGTACCTGTGCGTTAAAAAGTAGACATGTAACTTCCAATAAGTTAGTGTATATACAAGCTGAGAAAAGTAATGTGCAGTTATAACAGTAGAAGTTGTTACAGCACTGATGTAAACATCTGTGTTTCTTGGGAGCAGTTTTGCTTAAATAGGCTGTTGATTTTCTTTACTCATTTCAGTTAATACCAGCAAAATAGTTGTACGTTTAATCATCTGGGAATTTACCCAGATTTATTTATTTATTTAGACAGAGATCTTGACAACCTGTTCAGCACAAAGTTACACCGATGGTGGAACACGTAGCTCTTACCAAATAAATACAGTAATCCCATATGCATTCTACATATAATTTTCATAATATGAATGATTTTAATTAATTAATATGCTTGAAATGTTTGGGGTTTTTTTTTTGGCAGGCTTGCCAGATGTGATGTAAGCATTTGAAGGCTGATCATTAGTGTGATCATCACTGACAATATGTCATTGCATATTGAATATTGTTAGTGCTTTTCCCAAGCAGACAAGACTGTGCTGAAAGTCTGCAGAAACTATTACTGTGAGGAATCTGACATGACACTGGAACTGCCATGTGAATGAAATTTAGTCCTGTTGGCACCGCTGCCTCTTATCTCTGCAGTAATACCGAGGTGACACTGCAGGCACTCTGATGTGTATATCTTACCTGTTAGTGAGATTTGTGTGCTGGTAGGTGAGTTGGGAACAAAATCTATCACAGGAATCTTGCTATTGAGGATTTCCACTTGTCTGCCATCTAAAAAGTTGAAAAAGTTTCATTAATACTTACAAAAAATAACCAGAGATGATAGCTGTTCATTATCAGGCTATAAGCAAATGAATAAGTTACTAAGTTTTCTTTAACTGGAGCTACTTAACATTGATACTCACCTGTACCTCTTTGTTTAGGGTCCAAAGTTAGAGTATGAGAAGATTTGATCAATATGCCTTCAGGCTGAAAAAACAAGCAGTCACAACTTTTTAACTTGCTGTACATCAAATTTAGATGAGAATTATTTGTCCTAGGTGGATTTGATTATAAGAAGTATCTCAGTTTAGTTCAGGCAGATCCATTAAAAAAAACATAACAACTTTAAGTCAGCAGTAATATATATTTTCCACATTTACAAGCACACACTGAGTAAGGATGGTATGGGAAGAGCAGCAAGTGTGCCAACCTGACCTGAAAAGCCATGGCAAAAAGGGTGGATACTGTGTTTTGGCAGTTTAACAAAGTAATATAATATCAAACAAGCAAACAAAAAATGGAACCTTAAACCTCCTGAGAAAACTACTGTATGCTGAGGAAGAGTTGAGTGTAAAACGTGTGGATTGTCGCATCAGATACAGGATGAAAAGGAGGATGGAGGTAGGTTCCAAAGCATTTTTTAGATTAACAGAAGGTTTGGCAGGCTTCAGGGACTAAAAGGGGCACCCTATATGTGACCCTTAGAATGATCATAGGTGATAGCTCAACTGGAATGTGGGCTGAGCTTGACTTTGGTGCCTGCTTGTACCAATGCTATGCTTGATTTCTTAATTTATTTAATTGTACCCTGCATATCTGGCTGCATTCAAAGGCTTCATGTGTCTCTTAAAGGTAGGGAGCTATGTGAGTTGGTAGAATATGTCTTTCTTTCTTACCACTACTCGTAGCATCTTCACAATTCCATCACTAATTTCTGACTCTTTGACAGCTGCTTTGATCTCAATGCGGTGTTGTCCCTCTTTTGTAGGAATGATGGTGAACGGTACAGATCGTATACTTTTGGCCCCGACTTTCATCTCCTGACGATATCGCACACGTTTAGATGCTGCACTGCACACATGTTCCGCCTCAGTCAGATCAACGCGCACCTTGAAAATAAGTTCATTCAAGGATTTCAAACACTTTTTGTCATAATCTACAGAATATAAATACATCACTACAGTCTCTGATTAAGTTTCACTGATGAACAGTTAATTGAATAATAACAATAATAATGAATTGTTGGGAATTGTTCACTGGATGGAACATTATGATGGTGCTTGAATGAACCAGGCTTACTGTGTAAGGATTGGGAGTATGGTTGTGGATGACTGCCTTAATTTCTAGCTGCTCCCCACGAACAGCAGAGTCAGGTAGCTTCAGATCAACAAAGAAATCTTTACGGACAACTATCTCTAATGGATCACCCACACAGATACCTTCCAAAAAAGGGAGCAAGACACAAACACAGCAAAAGAAAGACCAGTTGATGAGCTATAGGTTGGCTCCTTGATCTAGAGACAAATTATATCAGTTCATCCTCACCGTGAGTTTTTGACAGACTAATACCAGTGAGCTGCCAGGTTGTGGTCGAGTCTTGCAAAGGAATATTTCTCAAAACTGATTCTTTTTCACTGGAAATAGAAATATCACCACTGTGAGAGTTGAAAGTATTACTATATTTCTATTCTATATTTCAGCTCACTAACCAGTTAGGATTCCCCTCAGGGCAAGCAGGCAATTTCATATCAGACCAGAGCCAACTTTCAGGGAAATTGGTGCGCGAAACAATTTCATTGCTGTCCATGAAACTGCTGTCATCGTCCTCACCTGAAGTTTTAAAACGTTCACATTTTTATTCCTTTATAGTAACCAGTATGACCATTTATAACCATCTTCCATCCATTGTTCATGTTCTTACTGCGAGCCAGTTTGAGGCCATCCTCCTTCCTCTCAGCTCTCTTTTTTTCCATTTCCTTGCAGCAGTGCAGGAAAGCCTCAAAACAGGCTGTATCGGCGATAAACTCACTGCGCTTCTCACAGTTAGATGAAGTCGGGGTTTCCCGGATTCCATCTAAGCAACAGTCATGTTCCAGTTTGTCTTTATATTGACTCACTGTGGAGAAAATAGCATTTAACAGAAAGACAAAAGGTGAGACTCCTTCTCACCCTTATTTTTTTACACAGACGAATAAAGCACTAATAATTAGAAATAAAAAAGTTTCTTAATTAAATTGACTTTGAGTGTCACATTGTGTTAATGGTCATTTTTCTTTCTTTATCTTAAAATAAATTCAAAAAACTGTCAAAAATGTATAAGTTGGCACAACAACAGAGTAAACTGGAAAGTCTCAAATAGGTCACAGTAATAAGAGAAATAGAAATACTACATTTTAGTTAGCAGCACTTTTCTAACTTTCCATATCACCAAACTAGAATTTGAAGGGGGGGGGTTAAGTATAAAAAACTGAGCAGCTAGTTGTAGATGAGACGGACTGGATTTTTCATATATAATAAATGAATACTCTGTTAAGAATAGAGACTCTTAACTAACTTTTATACTTCCACAATCATATAGAATGGAAAAGTTAAACTTTAGAAACGTTAACAAAGAAGGAGTTGTTTGTAAAGCCTGAACTGTATGACAGAAGATCATGTAAGTGTTTCTTGATCTTACATAAGGTAGTTGTGACATTCATCATATCAACGGCCCTTTTTCTTCTGTTGGGGTTCAGACATTTCAGCTCTGGAAAGGAAACACAGACTAGAATTCACTGTTTTGGTTTTAGAAGAAGGAAGGAATACAAGTGTGAGAGTAAAAAAGAGGTCACCTTGTCTGTAAGGAGTCCCAGAAGCGGTATTTGACTCAAACAGCAGCCCAGCATCATAAAATACACTCATGCTATCCTTCCCTCCACCTGGTGTGCACCCTGTGTCATAGTTCTCCACACTGTCCCAAATCTACAGTATGGAAGTTATACACGCAGAGAAGCAGATAGTTTAAGCTTAGGGTTCAGCTATGAGTGTGCTGGCAGTTATTTCTATAGTTTTTGATTTAGTCTTCCTCCATACCTTTACATATAAAAATTTTCTTGAGCAAAAAATGCAACAACTTGTATCTTTAGTCCACTGCCATTAAAGTGTGAGCCTTAAACTCCTCCGTTATTTTGAAAGGGGAATAAATAAAAAATAAATTACCTTTTTCTGGGTTAGACGGTGCTTACTGTTTAGGATATATACACCTTTGTCAACTGCGACCAGTCCAACTGTGGCTTCTGGATCACCTGTGATTTTCAGTCTAAATATTTTGCGAGGCTCATAGAATTTAGAACCTCCTTCTGAATGAAGCTGCAGCTGGAGAAGGCAGGAAAAGTAGATTTGTATTTGTTAAACCAACCAGACTGTAAGTTGGAAAAATACTAATAACCTTAACTGTGGTGCGCAGGTGTGTAATTGTCCACTTAAAAATTGCTACATCATTATTATGTGTCTCACCGAACCCATGCAGGAGTCTTCTACATCCACCCAGACAGAGTCTGATACAACTTCGTTATCATTTGGATGATAATAGGCGATGATGCGGAAAGATGGCAGCAAGTCTTTGGTAACAGTGATGATTAAGGATATCATTATTTGACCACTTGTTCTGAAACGACCATATTTCACGAGCTGACCTCTGCTAAGTATCTAGAGAAAAGGAATTGAACATCAACACTTATCTCTTATGTATGCACACTCTACTGTGTACGTTTGTTGTGTAAGTAAATACGTATCTCACCAAGTACGTTATGTCATTTTGAACATTTTTCTGCCCACTGAGGTGAATGTTGATCTTCATGTTTTGCCCGTTTTTTACTTCAGCTGTATCCACCCCTTTAAAAAAACATTAAAAAAAATTTTGACTTAAGAAATTTGTTTTTTTTGGATGTCACTACCTCTCTAATGTTATTTCAGTACATACCTATGTGAATGTAACTGTTGCTCTGAGAGGCATATGGGAGAGCAGTCATGGTGGCTGACGCTTGCCTTTCAGGTGAAATTTTAACATCGTTGGTCTTTGCCTACAATAAATCACACGTGAGCTAAAGTGACTTCGATCTCACTTTCATTCAGCCTGCATATAGAGGTGACCCATGTACAGTACAACATTGCTTTATGTGCAAAGTTGAATTTAATTATATCAAAGCCAGTATTCAGTAACAACTAAATATATACAGAATAATGATTATGAGACAATTAACCTAACAGTATCTTTAAAAAATTCTCCCACTGGGGATTTGAAGTTTCTCCCACTGGGGATTTGAAGATTCTTGCATATCAGATAAGCTTATCTAACAACTGACAACTATTAGGTTTTTATGACTTACTATGATTTTCATTGGTTGAGGATTATTGACTGTATTGATAGTAAGCCTCGCCATGCCATTAGCTGCAGTAAAGCCTTGGACATCACCTGGGTCAATCATCACTGCAACACCTTGTGCAGGAGAGCCATCAGGATTCAAAACCTCAATCTGCAAAACAAAGCAAAACAACAACAATTTTTATCATTTTATCTACTCCTTTTGACCATCTTTATACTTCTCCGTCAATGCTGTCAAAGCAAATATTCACATTTTTCACAATGCCTGTCACAATCCTGGTAGTGGCGATTTTACGATTTTGTTTCATGTTTATTTTTTTGTTGTTCTCTTTTCATGGGGAGAAGGGGGGGGGG